CCTCCATCCAGTAAAGTTCTCAGTTAGACTCCCTACCTCCAGTAGACTCCCCCCTCCAGTTCACATCCCTCACTTCAGTACATTCCCTCCCTCAGTACACTTCAATCCATCCAGTAGACTCCCACTCCTCCTCTTGTAAGACTCCCTCCTTCCAGTAGTCTCCCTCCCTCAAGTAGAGCACTACCTCCAGTAAAAACTCTTGCCTCCAGTAGACTCCCCTCCCTCTATAAACTCCCTCCCTCCAGTAAGGTAGTTCCCTCCCTCCAGTAGGACTCCCTCCCTCCTGTAGAATTCCTTCCCTCCAAGTTGACTCCTCCTACAGTTGACTCCCTCCCTCAGTAGACTCCCTCCCCATCAGTAGACTCCCTCCCTCCCTCAGCAAGACTCCTTCCCTCCAGAGCATCCCTCCCTCCAGTAGCATACTCTCCCTCCAGTTGACTCCTCCCTCCAGTAGACTCCCTCATCCAGTAGACTCCCTACCTCCTCCAGTAGACTCCCTCCCTCAGTAGACTCCCTCCCTTTCAGTAGAATCCCTCACTCCAGTAGACTCCCTCCTCATTAGACTCCCTCCCTCCAGTAGTATCTTCACTCCCAGTAGAAACCCTCCTCAGTAGACTCCCACCCTCCAGTAGACTCCTTTCTCCAGTAGATCTTCTCTCCATGGTAGACTCCCTCCCTCCCTCCAGTAGCTCCCTTCCTCCAGTAACTCCCTCCCTCCAGTAGACTCCCTTGCCTCCTTCCAGTAGGCTCCTTCACTCCCTCCAGTCGACTCCCTGCCCTTCCGTAGGGCTCCTTCCCTACCTCAAGTAGGACTCACCTCCTCCAGTAGACTCTTCCCTCCTCCCTCCCTTCCTCCAGTGGACTTCCCTCCCTCCGTTAGACTCCTCCTTCAGTAGAATCCCTCCTCCAGTAGGACTCCCTCCCTCCATTAGACTCCTCCCTCCAGTAGTATCCCTCCCTCAGTAGAATCCCTCCTCCAGTAGACTCCCTCCCTCCGCTGTAGACTCCTTCTCCAGTAGACTCCCTCTCTCCCCCCCCCCCCCCCCCCTGTAGACTCCCTCCTCCCTCCTGTAGACTCCCTCCTCCTTCAGTAGGCTCCCTCCCTCCAGTAGACTTCCTCCTCATGTTAGAATCTCCCTCCTCCAGAGACCTCCCTCCGTCCTTCCAGTAGGCTCCCTCCTTCCAGTTGGACTTCCTCCCTGCAGTAGAATCCCTCCTCCAGTAGACGCCCCACCTCAGTAGACTCCTCCCTCCAGTTAGAATCCTCCCTCCGTCGGCCAATCCCTCCCTCCATTAGAATACCTCCCTTCCGTGAATACCTCCCTCCAGTAGACTCCCTTCCTCAGTGACTCCTCCCTCAGTATACTCTTCCTCCCTAAAGTAGATTCCCTCCATCAGTAAGCTATCCTCCCTCAGTAGACTTCTCCCTCCCTCCAATTGACTCCATCCCTCCTGTATACATCCCTCCCTCCAGTTAGAATCCCTCCCTCCTAGGTAGACTTCTCTCCCTGCAGTAAACTCCCTCCCTCCAGTAGGACTCCCCTCCCTCCCGTAGACTCCCCTCACCTCCAGTAGGACTCCCTCCCTCCAGTAGACTCCCTTCTCCAGATAGACTCCCTTCCTCCGTAGCTCTCCTCCCCAGTAGACTCTCACCCTCCAGTAGACTCCTCCTCAATTAGACTCCCTACTCCAGTAGATCTCTTCTCCAGTAAGACTCTCTTCCTCAGTTAGACTCCCTCCCTCCAGTAGACTTCCCTCCCTCCAGTATCTAGACGTCCCTCCACCAAGTGAAACTTCCTCCCTCCAGTATTTTCTCACTTCCTACAGTAGCTTCCTCCAGTAGACTCCCTTCATCTAGGTAGACTCCTCCCTCCAGTAGGAACTCCCTCCCTCCAGTAGACTCCCTCCAGTAGACTCTCTTCTCAGTTAGACTCCTCCCTCCCTGTAGACTCTCTCCTCCCTCCAGTAGACTCTCTCCCTCCAGTTAGAATCCCGCCCGTTCAAGTAGAATCTCCCTCCAGCAGACTCCTTCCTCCATTAGACATCCCTCCCTCCATTAGGTATCTCTCCCTCCAGTAAACTCCTCCTCAGTAGACTCCTTACCTCCAGTAGAATCCCCCATCCCTCGGTAGACTCCCTCCAGTTAGACTCCTTCCTCAGTGACTACCTCCCTCCAGTAGATCCTCCCTCCCTCAGTAGTTCCACCTCCGCTCCAATAGAATCCCTCCTCAAGTTGATTCCTTCCCTCAGTAGACTCCCTTCCTCCAGTAGACTCTACTTCCTCCAGTAGACTCCTTCCTCCAGTAGACTCCCTCCCTCCAGTAGATCTCCCTTCCTACAGTAGACTTCCCATACTCCATTAGACTCCCTTCCTCCAGAGTGTCCCTCCCTCAGTAAACTCCTCCCTGCAGTAGAGCTCCTCCCTCCTTTAGACTCCTCAAATCCAGTAGACGATCCCTCCCTTCAGTAGACTCCCTCCCTCCAGTTAGACTCCCTTCTACAGTGACTTCCTCCCTCAGTAGACTTCACATTCCTCCAGTTAGACTCCTCAGTAGACTCCCTCCTCAGTCAGACTCCCTCCCTTCAGTTAGGAGTCTTCTCAGTTTAGACTCCTTCCTCTAGTACGATTCTCCCTCCAGTAGACTCTCTCCCTGTAGTAGACTCCCTCCCTCCAGTGTGAGACTCTCATCATTTGACTCTCTTCCTCCAGTAGACTCTCCTCCAGTAAACTCCTCCCAAGTTATAAACTCCCTCCCTGCAAGTAGACTCTCTGTCCCTCGCAGTTGACTCCTCCAATCCAGTAGACTCCCTCCCTCCAGTAGACTACCTTCCTCAGTAGGACTCGCTTCCGCTCCTGTAGACTCTCTCCCTGTAGTAAACTCCTCCCTCCAGTTATAGAAGCTCCCTCCCTCCAGTAGACTTCCTCCATCCAGTAGACTCCCTCCCTCCAGTAGACTCCCTTCCTCCAGTAGACTCTCTTCCTCCAGTAGACTCTCTCCCTGTAGTAAACTCCCTCCCTCCAGTAGACTCCCTCCCTCCAGTAGACTCCCTCCATCCAGTAGACTACCCTCGCCCCTCCAGCAGACTCCCTTCTACCAGTAGACTCTCTTCTTCCAGTAGACTCTCTCCCTGTAGTAATAGACTCCCTCCAGTAGACTCCCTCCAGTAGACTCCCTCCAGTAGACTCCCTTCCTCCAGTAGACTCCCTTCCTCCAGTAGACTCCCTCCCTCCAGTAGACTCCCTCCCTTCAGTAGACTCCCTTCTCCAGTAGATCCCTTCCTCTAGTAGATTCCTCCCTCCATAGGACTCTCTCCCTGTAGTAGACTCCCTTCAGGAGACTCTCTTCATTAGACTCTCTTCCTCAGTCGATCCTCTCCTCCAGGTAAACTCCCTCCCACCATTAAGACTCCCTCCTGCAGTAGACTCTCTCCTCCAGTAGACTCCTCCATCCAGTAGATCCTCCCTCCTGTAGACTCCCTTCCTCAGTAGGACTCTCTTCCTCCAGTAGACTCTTCCCTGTAGGTAAAAAACTCCCTCCCTCCAGTAGACTCCGCCCTCCAGTAGATTCCATCCACAGTAGACTCCTCCCTCCAGTAGACTCCTTCCTCAGTAGACTCTCTTCCTCCAGTAGACTCTCTCCTAGTAACTCCCTCCTCCAGGTAGACTCCCTCCCTCCAAGTAGACTCTTCCTCCAGTAGACTCCATCTCCGGGTAGACTCTCTTCCTCCAGTAGCTCTCTCCTGTAGAAAACTCCATCCAGTTAGACTCCCTCAGTAGACTCCCTCCAGTAGACTCCCTCAGTAGACTCCTTCCAGTAGACTCCCTTCCTCAGTAGACTCCCTCTCTCAGTAGACTCCCTCCCCTCCCAGTAGGACATCCCTCCATGTCAGAACTCCCTTCCTCAGTAGACTCCCTTCCTCCAGTAGATTCCTTCTCCAGTCGATCTGTCCTTGTTTAGCGACTCCCTCCTCCAGCTAGACTCCTTCACCTCCCGTTATACTCCCTCCCTCGCAGTTGACTCCCTCCCAGGAGACTCCCTTCCTCCACGTAGACTCCTTCCTCCAGTTAGACTTCCTTTCCTCAGTGATCTGTCCTTTGATAGCAGAATCCTCCCTCCAGTAGACTCTCTTTCTCCTGTAGACTCTCTGTTCAGTGTACTCCCTTCCTCCAGTTAGACTCCCTCCCTCAGTAGACTCCCGTTTTTCCACATGCTAATAAACTCCCTCCCTCCAGTAGACGTCCCTTCTTACAGTAGACTCCTCCGTACAGTAGACTCCCTCCAGTAGACTCCCTCCCTCAGTAGACTCATCCAGTAGACTCCATTCTCCAGTAGACTCCGCTCCAGTAGACTCCCTTCCTCCAGTAGCTCCTTCCTCCAGTAGACTCTCCTTCCTTCCAGTAGACTCCATACCTCCCCAGTAGACCTCTTTTCCCTCCCTCCCCTCCTCCCTCCCATCCCGTAGATTCAGGAGCGTCAGATAACAACAGGGTAAGTACACGCCTACCTAGTAAGACAAGCGATGGGAGGGTGCAGCGTACAGCTACACCTTCAGCATTGTGGCGTGTAGACTCTCTCACTAAGGTACGGTATGTGCTCCCGATCTAGGGTTATTTCAATGACACCCGTATTCGGCACTGTAACCGGCGGTGTTACGCAGGATTCTGTAGATTTAAAGACACCCGTATTCAGATTCGTAGCGATGGTTACTTTAGTTCGGAATTCAGGTGTTTTACGAACCCGTCTTGACCAAGTCGATGACTATTTCAGAGTCGGGTTATTGGTTAGCTTCAAGTATTGCTGCATCAGGTGTTGTTGCTTCAGGTGTTGTTGCTTCAGGTGTTGTTGCTTGTTGAGCTACCTTCTGCACACTGCGTCTCTCTCTCTCACACACACAGCACACGCCCGTGCCAGCTAACACCAGCTATTACGGCGGTATTATCTGGTATGAAAGAATAGAGCTTTTAAAATTAAATGAATCAGTTGCCCGCCCTTCCTTACTGGCGTCGAGCTTGGTAATGACGCCTCGGACGGATGCCACCTTTAAAACCTTGCTGCCTTGTAGGTGCCAGACGACCCATGAGATCAACGTTGTCAGAACGACACTTTGAGATCAATGTTGTCAGGACGACATCATGAGATCAACATTACTAGGGCGACATCATGAGATCAACGTTACCAGGACGACATCATGAGATCAACGTTACCAGGGCGACATCATGAGATCAACGTTACCAGGACGACATCATGAGATCAACATTACCAGGGCGACATCATGAGATCAACGTTACCAGGGCGACATCATGAGATCAACGTTCCGAGGGGACGCAACATCATGAGATATCGGAAAATACTGGGCGACATCATGAGATCAAGTTACCAGGGCGACATCTTGAGATCACGTTACCCGGACTACTATTATGAGATCAACGTTGGCACAGAGACGTACATCATGAAGACAACGTGCCAGGACGACTCATGCGATCAACGTTACAGGACGACATTATGAGATCAACGTTCGCCAGACATCGGACATCATGAGACGCACGCTGCCAGGACGACATATTGACATCAAACGTTCAGGAGACAATCATGAGATCAACATTACTAGGCCGGACATCATGATCAACGTTACGATATTGGACGACTATATGAAGATCAACGTTACCAGAAGACATTCATGAAGATCACATAAAAACTACCAGGGCGAATTTGAGATATCAACGTTTACCAGAGCGACATCATGAGTATCTCGTTCCTAGGGCACGACCGTGCGTCTGCCCTCCGTTAACCAGGCCGACATCATGATGTAACAAAACGATTCAGCCGGGCGAGAATCATGAGAATCAACTGTTGCCCATGGGACGACATCATGACATCAACGTTACCAGGACGTCATCATGGAGATCAAAAAAAACGTTTTTTTACCCCCCCCCCCCCCCGTGGGCGACATCATAGAGATCAGACTTGTTACAGACGACATCATGAGATCAACATTACCAGCCGCGACATCATGAGATAGACGTGCTACCATGAGGCATGACATCTAGATCAATAACGTTACCAATGGGACGAATAATGAGATCACATTACTAGGGCGACATCATGAGATCAACGTTACCAGGACGACATCATGAGATCAACATTACCAGGGCGACATCATGAGATCAACGTTACCAGGGCGACATCATGAGATCAACGTTACCAGGACGACATCATGAGATCAACATTACTAGGGCGACATCATGAGAACAGAACGTTACAGAGTGGGGACATCATGAGATCAACGTTACCAGGACGACATTATGAGATCAACGTTGCCAGGACGACATCATGAGACCAACGTTGCCAGGACGACATCATGAGATCAACGTTACCAGGACGACATTATGAGATCAACGTTGCCAGGACGACATCATGAGACCAACGTTGCAAGGACGACATCGACATCAACGTTACTCAGGACGACATATGGATCAAACATTACGTTGGGCGACATCATGAGATCAACGTTACTAGGACGACATCATGAGATCAACGTTACCAGGACGACATCATGAGATCAACATTACCAGGGCGACATCATGATATCAACGTTACCAGGACGACATCATGAGATCAACGTTACCAGGACGACATCATGAGATCAACGTTACGAGGCCGACATCATGAGATCAAACGTTAGACCAGGGCGACTTCATGAGCATCAACGGTTGCCATGACGACATCATGACTCAATCGTCCCTGGACGGACATCAGTGAGATCAACGTTACCAGGAGACCAACATCATGAGATCAAACGTTACCAGGACGACATCATGCTCCACGTTACCAGGACAAAGCATCATGAGAAGATCAAGACGCTTATCCGGACGGCATCATGGAGTCAGTTACCAGGACACTCATGAGATCGACGTTACAGGACGACATCATGAGATCAATACGTTACAGACACGAACATCATGAGTCGCAAGTTACTAGGGCGACATCATGAGAATCAATCGTCCAGGATCGACATCATGGATCAAACTTTTCCAGGGACGATCATGAGATCAAACATTATAGTGGCGACATCATTAGGATCAACGTTTACCAGGGAATGACATCATGTGAGATCATACAGCATTTACCATTTGGGAAGTACATCATGAGATCAACCTCGTTACCAGGGGCATTCATGAGATCAACACGTTTACCAGGACGACATCTATGAGATCAACGCCCATTACCAGGACGACATCATGATATCAACATTACTAGGGCGACATCATGAACTCAACGTTACCAGTGCGACATCATTAAATCAACGTTACCAGGGCGACATCATGAGATCAACGTTACCAGGACGACATCATGAGATCAACGTTACCAGGACGACATCATGAGATCAACGTTACCAGGACGACATCATGAGTGGGTGATTACACATGTACCAGGAAGACTCCATCATGAGATCAACGTTACAAGGACGACATCAATGAGATCAACGTTACCAGGCTACAGACGCATCAATGAGGTTCAACGTATCACCAGGACGACATCATGAGATCAACGTTACCAGGACGACATCATGAGATCAACGTTACCAGGACGACATCATGAGATCAACGTTACCAGGACGACATCATGAGATCAACGTTACCTGGATGACACGTGTATGACTTTTGTTGTATGGCACTTATTGTATAAGAATTATTGTATGAGACTTGTTGTATGACCTTTCCCTTAGGTACCACTATAGTCTCCATCCCCGTGGGGTAGTGTGTTATAATGCATGCCCACCACTGGGATAGTGGTTTAAGGAATGCCCACCCCTGGCCTTAGTGGTAATGGTTGCCCACCCCTGGGTTATTGGTAAGGATGGTCCAACCCTGGGATGTGTAAGGATGCCCACCCCTGGGATAGTGGTAATGGATGGCAACCACCTGGGGATAGTCGGTAAGGATGCCCACCCTGGGATAAGGATTGTGGTAAGGAGTTGCCGCCACCCCTGGGGATAGTAGTAGGATGCCCATTTCTGTGATAGTGTAAGGATGCCACCCTGTGATAGTGGTAAGGGATGCCCACCCTGGGATAGTGGTAAGGGATGTCCCACCCCTTGGGATAGTAGTAAGCGATGCCCACCCTGGATAGTGGTAAGGATGCCCACCCCTGGGATAGTAGTAAGGATGTCCACCCCTGTGATAGTGGTAAGGATGCCCACCCCTGGGATAGTGGTAAGGATGCCCACCCCTCGGATAGTGGTAAGGATGCCCACCCCTGGGATGGTGGTAAGGATGCCCAACCCCTGGGATAGTGGTAAGGATGCCCACCCCTGGGATAGTAGTAAGGATGCCCACCCCTGGGATAGTGGTAGGATGCCCACCCCTGGGATAGTAGTAAGGATGCCCACCCCTGGGATAGTGGTAAGGATGCCCACCCCTGGGATAGTGGTAAGGATGCCCACCCCTGGGATAGTGGTAAGGATGCCCACCCCTGGGATAGTGGTAAGATGCCCACCCCTGGATGAGTAAGGATGCCCACCCCTGGGATAGTGGTAAGGTTGCCCACCCCTGGGATGGTGGTAAGGATGCCCACCCCTGGGATAGTGGTAAGGATGCCCACCCCTGGGATAGTAGTAAGGATGTCCACCCCTGTGATAGTGGTAAGGATGCCCACCCCTGGGATAGTGGTAAGGATGCCCACCCCTGGGGTAGTAGTAAGGATGCCCACCCCTGGGATAGTGGTAAGGATGCCCACCCCTGGGATAGTGGTAAGGATGCCCACCCCTGGGATAGTAGTAAGGATGCCCACTCCTGTGATAGTGGTAAGGATGCCCACTCCTGTGATAGTGGTAAGGATGCCCACCCCTGGGATAGTGGTAAGGATGCCCACCCCTGGGATAGTGGTAAGGATGCCCACCCCTGGGATAGTGGTAAGGGTGCCCACCCCTGGGATAGTGGTACATGATGCCTACCCCTGGGATAGTGGTAAGGATGCCCGCCCCTGGGATAATGGTAAGGATGTCCACCCCTGGGACAGTGGTAAGGATGCCCACCCATGGGATAGTGGTACATGATGCCCACCCTCGGATAGTGGTAAGAATGCCGACCCCTGGGATAGTGGTCAGGATGCCCACCCCTGGGATAGTGGTAAGGATGCCCACCCCTGGGATAGTGGTAAGGATGTCCACCCCTGGGATAGTGGTAAGGATGCCCACCCCTGGGATGGTCGTAAGGATGCCCTCCCCTGAGATAATGGTAAAGATGTCCACCCCTGGGATAGGGGTAAGGATGCCCCACCCCTGGATAGTGGTAGGTCCCACCCCTGGTAGTGGCTAAGATGCCCACCCCTGGGATGGTCGTAAGGATGCCCACCCCTGAGATAATGGTAAAGATGTCCACCCCTGGGATAGGGGTAAGGATGCCCACCCCTGGGATAGTGGTAAGGATGCCAACCCCTGGGATGGTGGTAAGGATGCCCGCCCGTGGGATAATGGTAAGGATGTCCACCCCTGGGATTGTGGTAAGGATGCCCACCCCTGGGATAGTGGTACATTATGCCCACCCCTGGGATAGTGGTAAGGGTGCCCACCCCTGGGATAATGGTAAGGATGCGCACCCCTGGGATAGTGGTAAGGATGCCCACACCTGGGATAGTGGTAAGGATGCCCACCCCTGGGATAGTGGTAAGGATGCCCACCCCTGGGATAGTGGTAAGGTGTCCACCCTGGGATAGTGGTAAGGATGGCCCCCCTGGGTTTAGTGGTAAGGGATGCCCACCCCTGGGATAGTGGTAAGGATGCCCACCCTGGGATGGGTAGTAAGGATGCCCACTCCTGGATAGTGGTAAGGATGCCCACCCTGTGATAGTGGTAAGGATGCCCACCCTGGGATAGTGGAAAGGGATGCCCCCCCTGGGATAGTAGTAAGGATGCCCACCCCGGGAAATAGTGGTAAGGATGCCCACCCCTGGGATAGTAAGTAAGGATGTCCACCCCTGTGATAGTGGTAAGGATGCCCCCCCCTGGGATAGTGGAAAAGGATGCCCACCCCTCGGATAGTGGTAAGGATGCCCACCCCTGGGATGGTGGTAAGGATGC